ACTAATTAACTGCTTATTTTTTAGAATTCACGAATAACAAGTTTTACACCTAAAGTATGAATATTGTATCTTGATTGCAGTCAATCTAAACACAAATGCACAAGTGTACCTGTGTGGGGTGTATTTGTCTATTTTGCATGCATTCTCTAATATATTTTTAGTATCCGATTAGCTGGAGTTGTATGCTATTTAACCTTGAATCCTTCATGCTTGTTTAGAGAACAAGAGTCCAGTTAGATAGTCTGTGTTTTTTAGTGAAATTTGTAATGGCTAAGTTGAATGAATTAGATAGAACTACTTACTCCTGACTTTCATGAGGCAGATGAAGTTGGTGGCATTGGAAAATGGAGAGCTGTTGATTCATAACTCAGTGCAAAACTGAGCTCAGGAAGTATTGATAATAGAGTTATCAATTTTATTTGCATGCTTATGAACAGATAAGAGTTTTCATAGAGAGCACCAGAATGTGACCCCAAAATGGTGTTTTTGAATATGTGGCTGTGGTTTACTAATGAAATGGGACACTCCAAGATATCACTGTTGGAGTTGGGGGCAGGCATTGAAACAGATCAATTTTTTATTAACAGATTATTTTTTATTAATTGTTTTTCAGAAGGAAGTCTTTATTTGGAATTCCAGTTCAAGAGGGATAAGAATTTGTCATAGCTCTGGGTATAGAAACAGGTAGGCATGGTGTGTGCAGTAGCAAAATGAGTGCTCACATATACAATGGCAAGGACAAAGAGATAGAGGAATGGAAATGGTGTGAATCTTTAAACTCTCAAAGGCCACTTGCACTAGCAGGCTTTCTCCAGGAAGGGTGTACTTCCTAAACTTGCTCAAACAATTTTGCCATCTGGGGACCAAGTTGGATAAAGCTTTTAAGTGATTCTTCTGATAGAAGAGCAGCAGGTGGTAATTTATATGATGAGGGGCATAACATCTGTCTTAGAAGCCATCTTTAGTAAATCATTATACTGATACAGAGCCTTCAAAACACAGTGGACAAACAGGAGTATACCTCCCAATGAAGAAAACAAATGACATCATTGAAATTCCTTTTTTTGTTTGAGACTCAAAATAAGTCTCCCAGTTATATGACCTACTTACTCATCAGGTTATAAGCCTCTAAGGCTCTTCTCTTTAATACCTACCGCTTCTTTCCCTCTATAGTGCTGCCTTCTTATAATTAAAGTATTTGCAGATGATCAAACACTTGGTAAAGAAAACACTCCCAAAAGTCTAAATACAGTTGTTTCTACAGGAAAACCAACTGTTCTGTTAAAATTCTGGGCGGACTGACCTAGATCTATAAACTGAAAGGTTTGCCAAGACACGTGCAACCGTGTAAATCTCTGAGATGTGGGTTATTTAAACAGATGGTAAACTCTGTCACAGTGAGCACTATATGAAAATTGACAGTGAGCAGAACTCTAGGGGAAGCAGGCTGGAGAGGAAGCACAATCTCACTGTGGACCTCTGAGAATTTTAATTAAAACACAGAGTGGAAATTTAGAGTGCTTGGATATACTTCTTCAGAATATTAATTGAATATTAGTAGTAGTTGGATTGTTGCTAAGATACCAGCCTTGGGGAGACCCAGGACGTTGTGGAGACTGCTTTTGCTAAGTTTTGGGTGTGACTTGGCGATGCTATTTCTATACTCTCATATGTGATCTAGAGGGAACATGTAAGGCGTGTTAATGCTTTTCTGTGTTCTTGATGGTGGCAAAGGAGGTTGAGGAATTTCCTTCCTTTGTTTTATATGTCACTGTTCTGTAGCTAATATATTCTTTGGAGTTGTCAAGACAAGTTCAGTCATTCATAAGAGTGGCCTGTTGGACAGACCTATGTGGTCTTGTTCTAGGATCTGCTCCTAGGGATTAGCTGTTATTCTGTCCCCACCAGTGATACCATACCATGGACGCTTTCCTTCCTGTCTTCATAACTTAGAAGACAATAAAGTTCCATTACTATATCCCAGTTGCTTTAAAATTACATTCATTAATTTTCAGAGCATGTAGGGAAGGGAGTGAGCATGCATGTGCCATTGCAGGTAGAGGTCAAATGATGCTTTACAGGAGTCCAGTCTCTCCTTCTGCTGTGAGTTCTGGGAATTGAACACAAGTGGTCAGGTTTGCAAACTTCCTTATCCACTGAGCCATCTTGCTAGCCTCTCTGCTCCAACTTTAACTGAGATAGCACATAGAATAAAGTAGAGCAGCTCCCTGCATCTAACCCAACCTGTGCTCCATCATACACATCCTTCTTTCTGACTGTAAGGTACACATCTCCTTTATCTTTCCATAGAAGGAAGATGCAGGCAATGTGTCAGATGGAAGGAGTTAATCCCACCATTACATGGCCATGAAAGGAGAAAGACTGAGATGTATGATGGGAAATGAATTGATAAGGGTTCAAAGTATGTTTATAAATTACATAGGAACTCATGGCAGCTGTGGTGACCTGCATACGATTCAGAGAGGATCAAGCCAGTTAAAAAGTTCAGCATTAAAAAAAAAAAAAAAAAAAAAAAAAAAAAAAAAGGAATTGAACACCTCACCCCAGCAAAGAAATTAGTGGCAGGTGATGGTTATTGCAGGAGGGAAAGTCACTTTTCTTTGGGGCATGGCCCCTAGCCATTGCCCAGGTCCCAGTGGGTGTCCATACCCATATGCATATGGTCAGCACTAATTGGGCTGTGGGTTATCAATAAACAAACAACAAACACATACATAATTTTAAAGAATACCTACTCTTCTCTCAGAGATACTGGTGATATAGGCATCCATTTTAGGTGACTCATAACCACCTGTAACTCAAGTTCTAGGGGATCCAGTATCTTCTGTTCTAGACTGCATACGATGGACATAACCTCATGCAGGCATACACATATACATAAAACAAATGAATGAAACTGTAAAAACCAAAACCTCAAAGTTGGGAGGGAGTTGTAATGGACGGGCTTGGAGGAGGATTGATAGTGAAGACTAGGGTTTAGGTGTGATGGTGATACATGGTGTACATGTATATACTTTTCAAAGAATAAATAAAAAGTGTTATTAGAAAAAGATTAAGTGAAAGTGGATATTTCTCACAAAATGCTGTTGACAATAATGGCTAGTATGGAAAATAAAATAATTTTAACTACAATGCTAAAAAATAGTCTCCTTAACCATTTAGTGAGATTTGTATATGTGCATGGTTTGTTTTAGTCAGTTTCTCTAGGTAAACATTGCCCAAACCAACATCGGACAATTTCCTCCCCAATTGAGAATCATCAGAGAAGAAGAGGTTAACAGATTTTAAGTCAAAGAGGTAGGTGATAAAAATGCAATTGTGTTTGGGATACAAACAGGACAGTTGCTGGTATGAAGTCACATCAGTTGTGACAGCGTGCAAGTGACCTACACAAACTTGAGTCAGAAAAGATGGAAGGAGCAGGTGGCCACAGAATCCAGCTGAGGAGCAAGCTCTTGGCAGTTGATGACTGGGAGAGTATTTTCTTCAAGATTGGTGACCCCTGAGTGGCTTCTCATGCTCTGTCCCATGGTCTGACACCCATGCATATGCTGGTACTGCCAACTGAACAAACAAACAAACCACTGTGATGTTGGGATGGAATAGTGGTGGTGGAGACAGGGAAGGAATTAGAGGAGAGCATAGCATGGGGAGTAGACATGATCAGTTCACCCTCTAAACATGTACAGAATTCTCAAACAGTAGAAGAGAAAGAAGTGTTAAAAATACATGTCCTTCATACTTGATAGCCTTTTCTTTTTCCTGCATGTGTACCATAGCTAATGGTTGCCCAAAATCAACATAAAATGATTTTCATTTTCTTCTTAAGACAAAGGGAGATGTTTCCCTACTGTTTGGCTGTAAAATATATTGTCACTAAAAAGTCATAAGCATGGAGATGGAGTTAAAATGCTTCACATCAGCAAACATCTGTGCAAAAGAAGCTGGCATTACATAGTTACTTGATCACTATTTTGTTAATTATAAAGATATATAAAGATAATATATATATAAAGATATGTTATGGAAAATAAGAAAAATAAAATAACCTTATCCAACAGCCTAAATATATATATAATTACAAGTGATTCCAGATGCTGATTCTCCTCCCACCCCTGGCCCAGTTCACTTCTGCAATTTTGTATTTCAGTTAATTTTTTAATATCTAGATTTCTTACACACATGGCCACAAAACTGTATGCCAAGATTTTATTTAAATTCTTCTTTTATGAATAAGATTCTACTGTTTGTGCAATTTTTGTATTTCTTTTTCCTTCAACAATGTGCTTTCTGAGCTCTACCCTTGTGTTTTCCTGGGTTTCAAACATATTTAATTCATCAGCATTATTATATTCACTTAGAAACAACTATTGTTAATTTAATTGATGAGTTTATTAAAGGAGCCCTTTCTAACTCGTTTTAGTTGTAGATTATTTTTTATCACATTTGCTCTGTATATATGGGATGGAAAACATAAGAACTGTTAGCTAAGATATGTCTAATAACCTCATGGTTAAATTATGCTTGAGTCACTGCTTGATTGACTTGCTAATTCTTGCTTTTTATCTTGAGTGTCATTCAGTGAGCTGTCAAGAGTGTTGATGGGCATTCTTTAAAGAATACTCCAGCAGTTAGTTCTTCCAGGCTTCTGACCTGTCCTCTCTACTCATGTTCTTGCTCTCACCTGCTTGTGGGCCCAGAGGTGTGGGTAACAGTTTTCAGTTCGCTTTTCCAGTTTGTGCCTGCTCCTCCAGCAGTCCTCCTATGATGTGCTGAATGCTGCATTGCAGGGCTGGAGTTGTTCAAGTGTGCCATCAGGAGCAACAATCAGTTTGTTGTAGTTGTCAGTTTTTAGGCAGGAGTTTGCTCTGAGCTGGAACTCCCTATCTAGTAAAGGCGGCCACTGAGCTCATGGTAATACTCTTGCCTCAGCCTCTTGAGCACTGGGATGCCATATGTGAGCTATGCATGTAACATTTTAAAAAATGGAATTTTTGGTGAATTTGTATGTCATCTTTGCTCAGGGTCCATGGCAGTCTCTGCATTGTCTCAATTTCAGTATGTGTGCTGTAGAAGCAAGTACATCTGTGACATTCTTAATGGTGACAGGATCAAGTCTGTTGTCTAGGCAACTGCAACTGTATGACAGTATTCATTTATGAAAAAAAATTTTATGTAATTCATATAGATCAAACTAGGAAAAATCTTGGAATTGGTGAAATATAGTTTGTTACTTCATTTCAATTGATAAATTATTCTCTATAACACTGTAGTAATCAAGTCCTATGTGTAGATTTAGATTGTTTCATTTTTTTTCAAATTTCACTGTGAAATTTTTATATGTAAATTGTGTCATACTGTTTACAAATAAGTATTTGTAAGTAGGTATAAACTTTAATATGTAATTGAAACAAATCAATAAACTAATAGCAATACAGCTATTAAGTGAAAATTACAGTCTCTCCTGCTTTAAACATGTTATTTTCATAATAAACTATTTAAATGGCATGCTTTGTGTTTCACCTATAACCCTATTACACTAGAATCTTAAGACCTACGTTATTGACTGGTAGCAACAAATATTTTGTATTTGACTTTGTCATGCTTTTCACATATATAAAAGTGGTTTTAGTCAAATACACATCAGTGAATATGTTAAATCAGAATACATTTTGTGGCTTCTCTGGCATTGGAAGACACTCTACCCAGTAATATGAGGATTATAACAATGGGCCATAAGAAAAAAGAGCCATGCAGACCCTCCATCATCCCTCTGGCTCATCCTCTTTCCCTGTGCCAAACTTGTCATTTCAGGTTTGACTTCTTAGCCTGAAGGCCAAGTGTGTACTTTGAACAAGGCACAGCCATAAGCCTTGTCTGTATGTGAGCTAAGGCCCCTCACACATCACTTCCTGGTCAAACTCCCTACTCTACACCATGAGGTAAGATGTGGAGATTTAAAGGCTAGCAATGAGTCAAAAAGTATCCCAAGGATGTTATTTCCTTAATTTGCAAGTTAAACCTATTTGTGTTTTCCTAGGATTTTTGATAGTTAACAATTATGTAGGCAGATTTTCAGCTTTTTTCTTCTTTTTCTGATTTTTTCTTTAACTGTGAGAAAGTGATCATCACCCCAAAATGACAAACTTTCTCACAAAATTATACATGGAACCTAATTATCAATAGAAGATAGTATTATATCTTATACTACACAGTCTGCAAATATTGATGATTTCTTTTCTTTTTTTAATTCTCCACATGATACAAGTGGAATGTTGGCCACTGGAATAAAAATCACATATTATTCTTTTGGCCAAAACATAAAAGTGAAATTGAATTGAAACAACAGCAACAAAACCCCCACTTTTTTGTGTTTTCTTTTCTTTTTGCTTTTTGTTTGTTTCATTGTATTTTCCAAGACAGGGTTTTCTGTGTAGTTCTGGCTATCCTGGAACTCACTCTGTAAACCAGACTGGCCTTGAACTATCAGACATCTGCCTGCCTCTTCCTCCTGAGGGCTTAGATTAAAGACATGCACCACCATCATCCATCCAAAAACTATTTAAACAGATTGTAGTAGAACAAAAGGAAAAAAAAAATCCCACTTCATACTGGAGGAAACATGCCACCAAATAGTTTGTATTTGATTTGAGAGGTGAAATGCATGCACGCACGCACACACACACACACACACACACACACACACACACACACACATGTTTCGAGTAAGGTTTGTCCTGCCAGCCTGGACCCCCTGCGGCGTCAGCCCCAATTAACACACAGAGACTCTGTATTAGATATAACACTGTTGGCCAGTCACTTGTTTCTCTGCCTTAAATATTAACTCATTTCTATTAATCTAAGTACTTCCACATGGTCTTACCTGAGAGAGGGGAAGGTGATTCTGCTCTCTCCAGTCTCTACATGCTGACTCCTCCCTACTACTTCCTCTAATCCTCCTTGTCTCCTAGTCCTGCCTATATTGCTTTCCTATTGGCCAACAGTACTTTATTCATTAACCGGTATGAGAAACATATTTACAGAATGACATCTCCCATCACACACACACACACACACACATACACACTTAGGGTGTCCTGGTCTCTGCATGCATTAGGTATGTTGCTCTATTTCTGATATGCTCATGTGATTCAGAAGTTGCCAGAATTATCTAATGGAAATTGGTATGCCATGGCATTTTAGCAACTTTATTGCTCAACAACATAATGTATCATATGCTATTAACAAGATGATACCTATTAACTTTTCTGAATTTACTCCATAAACACGCTTAAAAGCATTGCCAAAATTGAGTTTTCTGTGAATACTGAAGCCACACACTGTGCTGTGAGACTAGCTGCATTCAAAATGTGTGTGTGTGTGTGTGTGTGTGTAGATAATTCTTCTTTCCCCTTCAATTTCTGACTTACTGCATCTTACTTAGTGCTAGCTCCCCCCTTTTCCTTTTTTTTTTTTTTTTTCCATTTACCTGCTATGTGTGTTGTAAAATAATTCATCAAGAGGTATTTGGAGAATCACAAGTAATTCAGTCCTGTGATTTTCTTGTTTAAATGATGATTAATAGATGGGGCACATGAATCTTTTCTTAAGTGTATTCACAGAACATTTATTCCTTTAGGTTTTTCTTGCTGTCAAGTACCTGGGTTCTATAGAGACTGCCGACTTCTGCACTTCCCTTTCCTCCTCTGAGAAATGTTAAGTGTCTAATTGGAAAAAGTTTGAGCACTCCTTTGAGTGGGCCATGGAAAGAGATGGACCAACCAGATGAGTTGAGATGGAAATGTGAAATTGAACCATGCAATTAGAATAGTGGATAGTCCATAGACATCATCAACAGTAGAACTTCGGTTAATTTTTCAATAGAAAACACCTTTCACATTGTGTTTTGCATGAGGTTCTGAGTCCTTAGATTGGACTTACTTGGTTTTGAAAGTTAATGTATTATTGGTAACGGAAAGACTTTTTTAAATACAAGGAAATAGTTACATTTCAAATATACTTATAAAAGTGACAATAAAAAGTTTCATTGACTTTTATTGCAAAAGCCTTATAGATGTAGAAAATTATATAAAATATAATCTGCCTCTCCAGTAAAATTCTGTAAGTAAAACCACCACCCAAGATAAGAAATGGGAAATGAGAGGTGCCCAGAAGCACTGGCAGGCTCTCTGCTAATCAAATGCCTTTCTTTTATTGTAATCAACTTCCTTGCTATGCTTTGCTTCATGTTTTTGCTGAGCATACAGTCTTAAATAACATAGTTTAGTTCTGCCTGTTTTGAATTTCATATAAATTAAATTATACAGTGTATAATATTTTGGTCTGTTTCTTTCACTCAAATTAAGTTTTTTGAGATTTATTTGCTTTTGGAGGCTCTTTTGTAGCTGTTTGCTTTTATTACTGTGTGATATTACCTTGTAAAAGGAGACCTTGATTTATCTCCCACTTTGCTGATGGACATTTGGGCTGTGTCCGGATTGCTTTGTTGTTAGATTTTAGGTTTGGATGTTTTTCAGGGTCTCACTGTATAGGTCAGGATGACCTCAAATTCAAAGTCCCTTTACCTAAGCCTTCTGAGTGCTGGGATTATGAGCATGTACCACCAACTCTGGCTTGTTTCCAGGTTTGGTCTTATACAGATAAAGATCTTCTAAAGACCTGGTTTTGTAACTAGGAATATATGTGCAAAAGTTTCTCATGAAAGTGAGATTGATGTTCAAAAGGGATGCACATTTTAACATTGTTAGATAATGTAGTTCTTTCTTTTCTATTTATGCCCCCACCAGGAGGGTATGAAAGTTTTCACTGTTCTGGCAATTGTTTTTGTATTTGTGGGTGGGGGTGGTGTTGAAGTCAGAAGTTTATGTTGGGTTACCTTTTTTACTCCTTGCTGGGTGTTACCCTCTTTGACAGGGTTTCTCACTGAACCCAAACCTTGGTGTTTCAGCTAGACTGTTTGGCTAGCCGGCTCCCTGGATTCATCTCTCTCTGACCCCCAGTGCTGGGTTTGCAGACACCAGCTGTTTGTGTTGGATCTGAACCTTTGCAGTAAGGACTTTACCTACTGAGCTGTCTCCAGTAGCTCACATTAAGGGTCCTTTGTATTTGTTTTTGTGGTATTGGAGTCTGAGCCTAGAACTTGGTGCAGCTAGGCAAGTGGTTCACTGATGAGTTATATTCCACATCTCCAAACCAGTGTATTTTGGAGCTTTTCCTGGTATATTTAACATAAATACTAAAATTTAAAAATTTCTGGTTACCAACAGTTACATGCCATTCCATGCATGTTTACCCATGTAGATTCTTCTTTTCATGGAGTCTAATCAGGTCTGTTGCCTATTTTTCTGTTGTAGTGTGTATTTTTGTGTTGGTTTGTGAAAGTGGTTTCTGTATTACAGTTACAACCTTTCTTTGCCTTCTTTCCCTTTACAGCAGAACATGGATGGGCAAGAGTACTCTCATGCTATTGCTTTATTAGGGGCTGAAATTCCTGCAGAAAAAGCAGAGCAGGAGACACCCTGCTTAAATGACACAGTTCTGAGCAGGTGGCACTAGGCTTCACACATTTTTCAGAGGAAGAGAATTGTTATACAAGAGCAATGACCTGCCTGTCTCTCAAGACCTCACTGAAGGAGACCAGGGAAACACTTGCTAGCAGCTGCCTGCTGTTAACTACCCCACACTTCCTGGCTGTGTATACATATGTGAGTACTGGGTGGGACCTTGTGGTCTGATAGCAACAGAGAACAAAGCTTTTACTCTGAAAGAAGACACCATGGGTCACCCCAAATTCCTGCTCCTCCATAGTTACTGTATATCTGAAACTAGTTCCTTGGAATGTCACCCCTGCTCTAGCACAAAGGTCTCTTCTGGCACCTATGAAAGCTAAAATCATGTTTCTCTGAGGTTTATGGAAAAGCAAATACATAAAAACACGAGGAATATGTGTGCAGATTTGAGTTCTGTCATGAAATTTGGGTGCATATAGTCCAAATGTCATTTAAATTAAGAAAATGCCACTTGGCTCCTTATGCTGCCCCAGTAAATTCTATGGAAAGACTC